CATTTATTTGTGTATCACTCTGCAGGCACAGTACGATAGTTTGATTCATAATCTCACAACTGAACAACCCGAACTACACGAAGTCTTGAGAAGAATGAGGAGTGACGTCATGGATCCATATAATAACATCAACAATTACAGGTTAAACAATTAAACACACTGCATTCATACAGATCAATTATTATATAACCTTGGCTGTAATGGTAATGAAGTGTGGGGTATATTAGGCAACTATGGTCTGTCTGTGTTGTTGTCGTCGTCGTCTTTAACATTTTGTGTGTGCATGATATAAACTCGGTTAATTTTTATGCAAACAATTCCAAACTTGGCTATATCGTTCATTGATATAGAATCTTGATCGATTGTCTCATATCTAGTGCGAAAATACCAGAAAAATTTTAGGAAATTATTCTCAAAATCTGCAATTGCATGACTGGCCACAGAGTCATTATGCGTTCAATCGCTTCACTGGTCTCCAAGAGAATAGACGTCTGTTTGTCTTCAAGCCTGTGAATGCTTACCCTTTGTTCGCCTAGGAATACAAGGCTTCGATATCAAGGAGTAATTGATACACACTTGCAAACATATCAATATAATACATTTGTGGTGGATACTAGATCTCAGCACTGATCTTTGAGATCGTTCATTATCGTCATCCAGGCATGCATGAATTAACCAACCGTAGGATACAGTTTAACCATTTATTTCTGAACGACACGAAATTGACTACACATTCGGTCTAAAACTAAAATACAGGAAATATAACAGCAGCCAGCATTGTACACACTTACTTGGGTGATACCTATTTCTATAGGTCATGGAAGGTACTAATGGAAGGAGCCACGACGCCTCTCAAGTGGCCACTTAAGCTTCTTAACAGGCTTATTTTCTTTTGTTTCAACCCAAGTTAATCCTGATTAGGACATTGTCTCGCTCATCTTTGATGTCCATGATAGTTTGCGATTGTTTACACAAGTAACGAGTTAGCGGAATATGATATAACCTTGTCGATTTTTAAATGTGACCATAAAATATATGCGCATTATGAAACTACGGTCATGGTCATCATACTTGCGCACTCGGTTGGTTTAGGTGTGAAAGGTCAAAATACGTATTTCACAACCGGAAATTCAACAGATGAACGTTTGACTTCACAGATTTCACATGTTTTAGTTATTAGCAACTGTAACAAGAACAAGAATTCGAGTGTCTACAACAATAATTCCTAAGGACTCCTAAAAAATATTATCACAGAGAAAGTGTCTAGGCATGCCCTTCTTTTGATACTATCTTTACTGGTGGTGTTCGCCGATGCCCGGTGGTCGAAAATTTCAATAGTTTCGGGCGTCAAACCCCAGCCAATGACAATGGTTCCATTGAATAATGCAGTCTTTATTATCGCAGGCAATCATTGATTAAGTCTCATCACCGTTACGAATACAAAAAGATTCACGATAGTTCACCAGTTCTTCTCCAATTGATGTTATGTCTGCTAATTTTTCATTAAAGTTCGCCAAGATCTCCGGAAACAACAGCATTCAAACTAGACGCCATTTTCAGCATTTTACATGCGAGGTTCGTCTATCGCTTCCGAACATGCTCCGAATATCACCGAATGCTTGAGACTAGCGTAACCTATTGTACGAAGGTGTTAAGAGCTAACAGAACCAATGTTTGTGAACAAAATATTGACAAACAATCATGGGCAAAGCTAAAACAATAGCGTCGTGGCTCCTTCCGTTAGTACCTTCCATGTATAGGTCAAGTAACTTTATTTATAATGTTATCTTAATCCTAAAAGTAAAGATTGTAATCCTTCGCCATGGCATTGGGTGAAATGTTATCTATCAAACTGACCAATAACATAATATTTATTAAAATGGCTTTTAATTACTGAAGGTGTGCTTCTTAGCCATAGGGATCAGTGTTATAGTGAGGTAAATACAGTAGTGAAACATGTTAAAATGTGTATAACTTTTGACTAACATAACAATACTTAATCAAGTAAACGGAATATACTGTAAAATCTGTATTAGAAACCGCGGCTTCTATTAAAATGGTACAAAGCAACAGAGGGGATGCGGCTTCTATTAGAGCATCTACACATATGAGAAATGGTAAATTGTAGATTCTCAATTATTCAAAAAGAATGGGTGCGACTTATATTAGGGATGCGGCTTCTAATACAGATTTTACAGTAATAGACAGTAATTTTCTAGCATCTATAAAGTAGCAATGACTCAAAACAAGTAAAAATAAGTGTCTATTCTAAGCATTTAAACGATACAAACAAGCACAAACTAAAACATGCCTGAGTAGTCAGTGATAATATTTATGAACACTCTTAGCAGAAAATTAATTTTAATTACCGACACTGTATTAACTATAAGTCATATTTTGTTCAAAACATATTTCTTTTTCAAACATATGATCAAGATCTGAAGCTAATAAAAATTATGATTCTTTGTTCCAAAATTATGGTATAAAATATAAATAAACTGTTACACATTATTTAAATTTGTGAAAAGGGTTAATAGCATACCATAGATTTTTAATTATCAATTTTTAGTGAATAATGGTCACTAAAATATTGTTCTTAAAAACTACCAGTCCAATTGCTTTGATAATATCAGATACCTTGCTTGGCTATTTTTGTATTCAACATGTTCTGAAAATGTATTTATCAATCAATGTAATGTTATATTTCTAGTAATGAAATGAAAGTTGTCACGGTTCATTCTGGAATTTTAATGTCACAATTTGCTTATTTAAACCATTATTCAGAGTTTTCAAATCTCGTTCATTGAATCTTCTCAATTTTGTCCATAATATGATTTGAGGTTCACCCTCGATAAGGTAAAGGTGGTAACTGTAACACTTTCATATCTTACAACAAAGGGCAAAGTCACCATAATTCAACTATGTTTTCATATCAATATTCACATTTGCATGTATTGTGGAAACCTTGTTTTGAGTTTCCGTGAGTGTTAGTGTGTGGAAGATTTTTTTGAAATAAAAGCTTTTATTGTGTCATTATTCAATATAAGTATTTGTTAAATATTACACCCATAGATTTATGGTAACTGAGGCGTACAGCCCAGCTGAAGTACTAGTCGCTTACTATGGTACTGAAGAAGACCCCGAAGCTGACTTCCCGTATAACTTTGAGCTGATTGAGCTGACCAGTGAGAATCTGTCTGGTACAACTATTCGTGATATGGTTGAGCTTTGGTTAAGCAACGTCCCTGAAGGCGAATGGCCTAACTTTGTGGTAAGTTTGTCTTTCAATGTCAAAGTTACAGGATAGTACAAAATAACCTGCTGCACATCTATTCCATATATCAAGTTCTCATTGTTCATTTCCAAGTATCAAGCAACTTTCATCTATTCCAAGATGTAGACTCTGAATATTGTATGTGCATGGTGTGTCACATT